CTTCAGGTCAAGCGTACTCATATCCGTGTTTCTCCAAAGCCTGCGCAATCACTGTTTGGGAAGGGGAGGGAGTTCCCGCACGCCAACACATGAAATACCTGCAGCAGCCAGAGATTTCACCCAGAGAGCCAACCTGCAGCACAGCACGGAGGGGAACTGGCTTACTCAAACTGCCTCTCCACTGGACATTTACCCCTTCTCCTGTTAAGTCAGACCGAGAGAGTTTGGGTTGTTCAGCCTGGAGAAGAGAAGGTTCCAGGGAGACCTTATTGTGGCTTTCAATAGTTAAAGGGGGCTTGTAAGCAAGATAGATGTTTTATGAAGGGACAAGGGGCAGCAGTTTTAAACTGAGAGAGGGAAGAATTAGATTGGACAGGAGGAGGACATTTGTTATGATGAGGGTGGTGAGATACTGGAATAGGTTGCCCAGAGTTGTGGATGCCCCATCACTGGAATCGTCCAAGGACAGGCTGGAAAGGGCTTTGGAGAGCCTGATCTAGTGAAAGATGTCCATAGCCATGGCAGGAGGGCTGGGACTAGATCTTTGATGATCCCTTCCAGCCCAAACCATTTCATGATTCTGTGATCCCAGAACACACTTCCAAGAAATTATTTTTTTTTTTTACCAAAAAAACCCATCTACAGCAAAACAAAACAATCTTTTTACTGGCCCATAGTACTCCAGCCTAGGATGTAAAATCTGCAAGTGTTTTGCCTGGATTTGACCAAGTCAAATCTTTTGCTTCAAAGCGTGGTGTTTACTTCTTACACTTTCCTGTTTGAAAAGACACTGAAGCATAACATGCTGCTGAGCCTGGAGAATGTAAGCAAGATTATATTCCCCTTCTGTAGGTAACAGTGCATCAATATGTCAGCACAGATATATTGAAGTCAACACAGTGACATCAGTTGACACCAATTATTTCCTCAGAGTGTGCTGACCTGATCGGCTGAGTTTGTTCACAGCCTACCTGACTGGGCTTGTCCACAGTTTCTGGAAATAGAAAATTAGCAAGTAGCATGTATGACCCTACAAGAGAAAGTATCAGATGGCTGCCAGAAGAGAGGCTGGGGGGGTCACTGCTGATGTGCCAGTGGTGCCCCGGTGCAGTCAGCAGCAGCCCCCATAATTGCACAGGGAGGGAAAGCAGAAGCCTGGCCTCACAGCCGGTAGGGACTAGGCACACATCAGTGCAAGATACACTGGACAAGAGGAAGAAGTGACATAGAATGGTTCAGGTTGAAAGGGACCTCAAAGACCATCTAGTTCCAATGCCCCTATCATAAGCAGGGACACCCTCCTATTCGACCAGGTTGCTCAAAGCCCCATCCAGCCTGGCCTTGAACACTTCCAGGCTTGGGGCATCCACAGCTTCTCTGGGCAACCTGTGCAAGTGCCTCACCAGCATCACAGTAAAGAATTTCTCCCTAATATCTAATCTAAATCTAACCTCTTTTAGTTCAAAAATCGTTATTCCTCATCCTATCACTACACTCCCCAATAAGAGTCCCTCCCCATCTTACCTGTAGAGCCTTTTCCCCAATAAGAGTCCCTCCCCATCTTACCTGCAGACCCTTTTTACTGGAAGACCGCTATAAGGTCTTCCCTGGAGCCTTCTCTTCTCCGGGCTGAACAGCCTCAACTCTCTCAGCCTATCTTCATAGGAGAGGTGCATCACTGTGCCCATGGCCCGCAAGCAGAGAAGTTACAACAAGCAGTGGTGCTTCCCACCACAACATGGGCAAGGGCATAACTAAGCCAAAGCAGGTGGCTCAACAGCTCTCCCTTCTCCATGGATATCCGGGGGGTCCAGGCTCCTCTTGTGGCCCCCCAGGAGACTCAGAAGCCTTGTTGGGGTTGTCAGGGCCTGACAGTGATGTTGGTCCTGCACCACCCTCACCACCTGTGAGGGCCATGATGGGGCCTTCCCAACCAGCCCAGCACAGATCCTCCCCGTGACCCTGCCATCTTTCCCTCCCCCTTGGGTCACAGCCATCACCTTGGGCACAGGTGGGCCTGTAGCCCACATTCACCCATCACGGCCAAAAATAACATATCTTTTTTTTTTTCCCTGCTGTTCAAACACTTCACATAATCCAGCCAAACGTAACTGGGAGAGAGAGAGGGGGAAGAACCACACTTGTAAAATGAGGTTCCCCCCAGGGCAGGGCAGGCAGAGAACCCAGGTCTCCGCTTTCATCCACCATCGCTAACCCTGGTGGGAAGGGGTGCCAGGGGGCTCCAGCAGCACACAGCCATGAGCCCAGCTTATTAATGGGGAAAACAACCTCACAGCAATGGAGGAAAACACTCGCTGCAGCTGGTGGGATGCAGAAGAGCAGGCATCGAAGAGGAGAATGCACAGCTGCTGTTAAATGGAGGTCCTAGCACTGGCCCAGCTTGACTAACAGCCCGGCTGTGAGGCTATTAAGGCAATAGAAGTGCTCTTCAGTGCAGTTCCTGTGTCACCAGTCCCTACCCTACAGCTTCACTGCTCCTCCCCACCAATAAGCCAAGCAGAATTGTTACGTAAAATTATGTAGGAAGCCAGGGGAGGGGGGGAAATAGTGCTTTATACAGTGCTGGGATATCAGAATACAGCTGCAGAAGCAACAGGGAAGTTAATGAATTAACGTTAGGACACTTAACAAGCACAAGAGCAGGCCATATCTGTTGAAAAAGGGGGAAAAAAGGGGGAAAAGGAGGAAAAAAGGGGGAAAAGGGGACAGCACCACTAAACAGGAAAAAAAGCCAAGCCATTTCAGTGTTGAGGGTTGAACTCTGATCATGCTTGCAGACGTGGAGACAGCATAGGCACCGCTGCAGTAGACAGAGCGTCAACAGTGGGCTGTAATAATGGAGCTCAGCTACAGCAGAGTCCAAAATACCAGTGAAATGAAAATCCTACATCAAACTCCTGAAACTTTCAAGTTTTGCTTGAAAGCACAATCTGACTTCAGAAAGCAGCAAAGAAATGGGGTTAGCATGATATCCTCCTGAACTCCTACCAACAGCTCCCATGTCTCATGCATCCTCCCAGGTTCTGCTGTGCAACTCCGTGATCAGGGTTGGCATGACAGCCTGGCAGTGTGAGAACCCATCAAAACCCAGACATTTCTCAAGGAACAATAGCCATCAACACTGAAAACCCATGAACATCATGCTGGACAAGCTCACAACTATAGGGGGCAAAAGCACAGCACGCAAGACCGGTTCCTGTCATCTCTTTCACCAAAACCAACCAAGTTGGAATACCCATGAACATCATGCTGGACAAGCTCACACCCATGGGGGGCAAAAGCAAGACCGGTTCCTGTGTCATCTCTTTCACCAAAAACAACCAAGTTGGAACTTTTGGAAAGACTGTAGGGATTCCTTAAGACCTCATATGAAACAAACACTGGTACAAATGTTATACAAATGTATACAAATATTTATACCTCAAGAAGGATCAGATGTTAAATTTACAAAAGTGTTTCCTGTTCAGTACCTTCTAAGTATAAAGCATCTCCCAAAAGCCTGACCTCGTAACTTTTGGAAAGACTGTAGGGATTCCTTAAGACCTCATATGAAACAAACACTGGTACAAATGTTATACAAATGTATACAAATATTTATACCTCAAGAAGGATCAGATGTTAAATTTACAAAAGTGTTTCCTGTTCAGTACCTTCTATGTAATAAGCATCTCCCAAAAGCCTGACCTCGTAACCAGTGACTAGAGGCCCCAGCACAGCTTCTGTGCAGTGCAGGTTCAGTTGTCAGCAGATGGAGCAAAGCCAGCGGTGGACCTCTCCCAGACATGTTGGCAGATCTCCTTGGTCCTTTGGTCATGAACAAGAGTGAGGCTGTAAGCCTCTTTGCCTCTCCCCAGTCCTGAGCGAAGACTAGACACTAGCCGTGAAGTTTTGTTAATAGCTAGGGTGTTTTTAATTGTATAAAGTTTTAAATACCACAGAGCAGGTGCTGTTCAGTCTCTGACAGGTTGGCAGGTGTAAAACTGCAAACCCTTAGTAAATCCAAAAGATGACAACCCTTAAGTATACAGAGGTTTTTCTCTCAAGCTATTCTTCCCCACTATTTATGTACTGTGCGTAAACTTGAAAGCAGAAAATAAAGCTACTGCTCTGCAGCGAGTTGCTCAACTTTGGAAAAAATGTTTTAAATATACTTAGTAATAATTTAATCCATTATTCATTTAGGACTTCTCTCCCTATATATTAAACAACTATTGATTTGGGTGGGACAGAGAAAGGCAACAGCAAAGCACAGGAACAGCCAATGCTTTAGTTTCAGAAAATTAATCCAAAAGCACTCGGAGGAAGAGGAAGGAGTCCCCACACAATAACTTGCAGAACTGGAAACATCTGAGCTGTTTCTTCAGGGTTCTTTTTGCTTATGTTTTTTTTGGAGGGAAGGGTTTGACAGCGAGTGTGAAGTGTTTGTGGGGGTTTTTGTTGATTTTTTTTTTTTTTTGCCTTTTTTTAAAACTAGTAGTTCTTCACTCTGATTACTGTATCTCAATGTGAGCTCCTGGGTCACTGCATGTGTTCTTTGTAACCGAGAGGGCTGGGGAAGCTCTAGGAGCACTATTGAGTATTAGCCCCTCCTTTTTACTGCAGTCAGGAGAAAAACCACACACCTCATTACTGCTCCTTCCTGAGCCTTTCTACTCCGCAAAAGGCAGTTTCTCTTCCCTTCCTCCTGCATTAGCCAGTTTCACATCAGAAAATGCCAGTCCTCGCTTCCCTCCAGGTAGATGGTAATGTCACACATAGCTGCTAAAAAATCAAAGCTGCAGCTTTGCCTGAGCACAAGTAAGGAGGAGTTAGAAGGAAGACAGAACACAGGTATCCAACATCACAGTATCACATGGGCACTATAAAGAGGTCTCTACAAAATGCAGACAAAATAGAAAACAGCTTTCCTCCCCCCAAAATCTTTGCTATCCACATTAAAAAAAAGCTACAGGAGAAAAAAGAAAATGAAGGAAAACCACTTCCTCCTGCAACTTATAATTAGGGCAGGAAGAGCTGTGACACACTGCCTGTTAGTACATGAAAGCCCACTATGGAAGAAGGATTCACATGAATAAAGTCTCCAAATGAACAGTACATATTCACAATTATTTTAATAGTACAGCTTCTGAATCTTACACTGTCATATCTGACATAAAAAGACTGTAATTGAATTATTTGCTACAAATATAAATTATACCTGGATTTTCTTTTTTTTTTTCTTTTAAGAGTAAAAAAGTACCATGTGTTCAATCTTCCAAAGTTAGAATCACAAGGGGAAAGACGATAATCATGTAAAGGCTGTCGAGAGTACACAAATAGATCATTTACATGCAACATGAAATGGTGAGTCATTAAAAAATCAGACTCCTTCAAAACCGTTCAGATTGTCACTACCAATTGTGCTAACACACCATTTGTCTTCAGAAACTGGCAGGTCTTCCTCCACAACTTCACTCACATTCCCACTTTTCATACACAGAGCTTCCCAGAAACTTTTCATGATCACAAAATTTGTTTTTTTCCACGTACACCATTTCATCTATTTATTCTTCGACTTTTTTCTTTCTGGTGAACTGCAAGCACTTCTTATTCCTCAGTTTGCGGGAGCAAAAAAATCCCTCCCCTTTTCTTATGTTATGTAAACAGTTCAGGCACAACAACCAGATTTTGTCCTTTTTGCTGGCTTGTAGTCAGTAATATCTACAGTTTGGGGTGGCCCTTCTGCTTTCTGCCGTACGATTATGGGGACAACCATCTCGAACACAGTTTCAAAGAGGTAGTCCACCTTGTATCCTGTTTTCGCACTGGTCTCAAAGCACATCTTCTCAGCTGCCGGAACGTCCTTCTCATCCAGCATTTTGTATTTCAGTATCTTTTTATAGAGAGCGATGGCATCCTCTGCACGGACTTGTTTTCGCACCTTGGAGCCACAGCTGGCAGCGGACTTCTCCGGTCTATTTTCGTCCGGTGGTAAAGCACAGTCATCGGTGAGGTCAACTTTATTTCCAACAATAGCAAAAATGCAGTCGGCGCTCGCGCTGTCCGTCAGCGCCAAGAATCTCTCTTCCAGCTCTGTCAGGCTCTGGAGGCTGTTCACATCATACGTGAGGATCACAGCAGCTGCTCCTCTGCAGTACATAGACCCCAGGCCATGAAACTGCTCCCGCCCTGGCAAAGGTTTAAACACAACAAAAAGTTAGCGGGCTGGAAGCTACATTATTAACCGAGTCCAAGGGTTTAAGGAATTTTACGCCAGTTTCACAAGTTTAGAAGGAGCAGGGAAGGTAAAAATGTGCTATTTGTAGTATTTTCAGGTTTTTTTTCCTTCTGCTTTTCCTACAGATTGCAACAGTGCCCCAGAACAGCTCAGATGTCTACCACTTGCTCGATTTCAGAGGAGGGAATCTGCACAGACCAGTGACCAAGCAAGTACGACACAGCACTCATAGCTGCAGCAAGCCAAAAAAAGTTTATTTTTTCATTAAATGGCATACTAGTTTATTTATCCCACATTAACAACTACCCTACTTGCATCCACAGGTGGCCCATTCCACCCATTTAACCATTTATAAACAAAAAATAAGTTCTACCTTTTCAAATTCTGCTAGAACTTATTACTCCTATAAATTCAGCATGCACTCTCAAGTATGACCAGTTCAGAAGTCTGGATCAAAGTCAATAATCCACTTCTTCCTGAGTTTTGAAGGATTTTGTAAGCAATTTAGTCCTACGCTGCATGCCCACAGTTCTCAGGTACACTGCCTTTACAGAAAAGACTTGTCTTTAATGCTGCTGTATATAGAATCATAGAATTGTCTAGGTTAGAAGGGACCTTTTAGATCACCAAATCCAGCCATCAACCTAAGACTGACAAAATCATCACTAAACCATGTCCCTCAGCACCACATCTACCCATCTTTTAGAAACGTCCAGGGATGGCGATTTCACCACTTCCCTGGGCAGCTTGTTCCACAGCTTGACAGCCCTTTCAGTGAATAGCCTGTATTGATATGTCCCACCCCAAGTACTCACTTTTTTTTTTTTTAGAGTATTAAACACACAATACAGAGAACCCTAACTACCTTTTAACAGTAATTTATCTTTTAGGTTGCCCTGACCATCACTCAATAACCAACAACATTTCTTTCTCCTCATCGTTCAGCAATTATCTACCAGCACTTGTAGCTAAGCCTCAATGGCCTCCTTCCAATCCATTTCTTGAAAGACAAAACAAAACTGACTCTTCTTTAAGTTCTAGGAAGCAAACAATGTTCTTTGGAAATTGTAAAGGAACTAAGAGAAACGAGGCAGAGGTTGTCCTTTCCTATTGAGAACTGCAACTTTTCCCAAATATCTCCTACACGTAGAATTTGCTGTAGCATATTCCTGTTACTCCCCAAAATCAATCGAGAAAAAAAGCCAAAACACACTAGATTTCAACCAGCCAGAATCAGCCATAGGTCACTACAGAACAGAAATGTGAACGAACACAGAAAATAAAAAGAAAGAAAAAAGAGCCAACTATGCTCATCATCATTTATCAACTCTTTTCGCAGTCTCTTTGCACAGAGCCTCCACTTCTAGAAAATCTGGAAGTGATGGAAAATGGGCACAAAGAGGAAATGGGCACAAACTTGAGTATAAGAAGTTCCACCTAAACATGAGGAGGAACTTCTTTACTGTGAGAGGGGTAGAGGCTGCCCAGAGAGGTGTTGGAGTCCCCTTCTCTGGAGACATTCAAAAACTGCCTGGACAAGATCCTGTGCAACCTGCTCTAGGTAGACCCACTTCAGTGGGGTGGGTGGACTTGATGATCTCCAGAGGTCCCTTCCAACCCCACATGATTCTATGATCTGGTTACTTTAATTTTCTGCACAAAGTTACTGGTCACTATGAGTTTACAGCATCATGAGATCCTTGTAAGTGACTGTGGAATAGGAAAGGCAGAAGATATTCATGCTGAAAAATATGGGTCTGTGTATATTGGGAAAACACATTTGCACACAATCATACACACTGTGAAAGTAACTTAGAGCCTATTTCCATTTGAAATAGAACTTAAAATAGATCTTTGAGTCGCTGTAGTAAGTCCTTTGACAAACTTCAGGACGCTACTCCATGGTGGCCAGAAGAGAGAGACACAGTGTTCACTGTTATCAGCAAAACAAAACTGGAAAACACCGAGCTAGAACATGAAATCCAAAGCTCACCAAACCTCTAACACTGAGTGAAATTCCTGTAACTGCCAGAGAAACAGGTTTGAAGAAGAGGTGCAGAGTACACTATAAAGAGGTACAAAGGGAAGCTGGTGAGGATGCACAGAAGCATGCAAACCTTTTGCATGAGGAAAACTGGTTGGATCTCTCAGGTTGGGGAATGACTGAAAAAAAAAAAAGGGTATAAACAGATGTCTATAAATTCAGGCCTATTACTGAGAAAGAGTAAATAGTTATTCCCGGGTAACTTTCTCATAACACAGAAAATTACTATTTCACATCAAAAAAATCATGTGTGTAGTTTAAATACTTTCCTACACAGTGAATAATTGGCAGTGTTACAGACCTCGCAGAGGTCAAAAGTTCAATGCATGGAGTTCAGAAAAGCATTAGGCAAAGTTTATGGAGAATTGCTTCTGTGCAATTTTGTATAACCTCTGCTTTGTTCTCCTCTAGCAAACTACATTTTTTGAACCAGTGACCTGAAGGCAGAAAAAAAAGGAGAAAAAAAAATAGGATATGCCCTTGTTTAGGTATGCTGGGTAAGGGCAAGGGAGATTGGGGTGTAAGGGAAGGAGGAGGTCAGTGCTTTTACACTTTTTCCTCCAATCTCATGTTCAAAGTTGTGTTTTCAGCTGCACTGCAAGCGAGTTTTAAGAAGTCTCCGATTTTTCAGTAGAAGTTTGTGCTGTGACCTACTTTGTTTTCATCCGAATCCTGATTATACTGTGGTTTCCAGACCACAATGGAACATACATCCTCCCCCATTCTCCTCCTTCAGATGCCTAAGCCATAAAATCCAGCCCCCAAAATCATTTGCTGCGGCAAACGAGTACTAGAACAATACTATTACTTGTTTTACGGAATTTCTATGCTAATCAAATCTTGCACAGCATAATATAATATAAACCATGACCATAATATAAACCATGACATTTTTATACTCTAACTACAAACTGCCTACTTCTACAACTAATATATTGTTGAAAAGGGGAAAGAAACAGTAAGAAGAATTTACCTTGCATAAGGGATTAATTATGTCAGAGGAATTATGGATAGTCTCTCTCACTCACCCACACAGCACAATCTACATGCAGAAAAAAAAAATGCACGATTTATTTTTGCAGCACAGTTTCCTTGTACAGACCACTTCTGGCACTCAAGGGCTGGAACAAACCTAGATGTGGAAAAACCCCTAAAACCACGCGAAGTATTTAAACTAATACCTTATCTCTCCCCAAGGTGTCAGGCAAAAAAATATCAGTATTACAGTAAAAATCTTCTTGCATGAGAACAGTCAGTCCCTTCTTATGGCCAGCTATAGCTTTCTCTGGATCCATCTGGTCCCACTACAGCCATGTACCTTTTTACACAGTTAGCTAAATTAAACGGTAAACCCTGAATCCAAGAATTAACCAATTTCACCCTTTCAAGAAATAAAGGTAACAGGGAAAAGTGGCAGAAAAAATGATTTGCAACCAAAGGAATTGCAAGAAGAACCAAATCAACCACAAAGCTACAACATTAGGGAAATTTCTTAATGCCAAGCAATCAAAACCTAATTTCCATTTTTCTTTTCATCTTTATGTTTTGCCTCATTTACAGCAGTTCGACAACCCTATGGCCATACCACTACCTGCAGGCTCTTCCAGCAAGTATATGAAGCCCTGCTAGAGACATCACCCACTCAGGAGTAGCTCAGCCACCAAGCATTTTGAGAGTCATATGACGGTTGTCATAAAAAAAAAAAAAATCAAAGAATTTTGAGCCAAATAGACCTCAATATCATAAAATTCCCAAGGGAGAAAGAAGAGAAAAGTAGACCTTGCAAGAGGCCAAGCCTGAAAAAGAAGCAAGGCTAGAATTAAAGCGTGCTGAGACTTGAACTGAAGGCCTAGGCTTTGGTCTAGCCAGCCTCCTACAGCACCCCGACCTCAGATGGAAGGCAGCAGCTCACGTGAACGATCTCTCTGGATGTGACCACAGCCCATGACCGAGCATCCCCTTTCCTTCCCAGCTCCCAGCTGTGGGACCCACTGACAGCAACAGTGCTAGTGGCTGCCCCGGTCTCCTTCTTGGAGCTCTCCTTCTGCCTGCCATCCCTGGGGGTGGTATCCAAAGTAGCCCATGAAGTTGCTGTTGATGTTTATGAGACCAAAAGATTTCTTCCAGCCAGATTTGAATGTTCCTTACCTACCACCTCTTCAAAGGCTTTCATCACGTCTTCTTAAGTAGCATAACATCCCACACACACTCTTTCAAGAAATCTTCTGCCGGAAGAACAAGTTTTTAATCTCTCAGTATTGAGCACTTACAAGAATGCAAAACAGGCTGTTACTTTAAGTCTTGAGGGAATAAAACACCACAAATATTAAAGAGCTAAAAAAGTCCTCCAGAAAGTACCGAAAAAAAGTTCTGTTGTCACTTTAATACCACAGTTTGAATGGGGTCCTAAATTCTGAGTTCCTAAAGTGAATATGTAGTGTGGGAAAGCACCTGAAGGTGAGCTTTTAGAAGCACACCAACATTGCATTAAAAATCAACAGGAGTCCAAAATTTTCCAGGAAGTTCTCAGTCCATGAACCAGTATCTTCCAAGGATTTTCACTGCAATTTAAGCGGGATTGGAATCTGAAGAGTAGAGAGGAATTAGCACAAACACAAGGTATCAGCTAGATTTTGCCTTTCAAATTCTGTCTCCTTTGTAAGATAGTCTGAACTTGAGCATACATGAAGAGAGATAGGAACTGTGCCCTAAGGAAATAGCCAAAACAGGAAAGAAAAGAGAAAGTATGAAACCCATGACACAGCGCCAAAATCAGTATTAGAAAGAAATGAGAGTTGAGGATTCAGCTTCAGTGGGCAAAGGTTCACAGGGTGACTCTGATGCTCCTGAGTTACCTCAGCAGAAACATCCACATGATCACAAGAGCAGAGAAAGAAGCCCCTTTTT